CAATTATTTACCAAATTTATTGGAAGACGTGAAACTAAGCATTTACCTTTGGTATCAGCCAGATGGCTGCCCGGCGCACTATGCCCGTTCAGTTAAAGAATATCTTGATACGCAATGCCCGAGCAGATGGATAGGGCGGTCTGGTATAATTTCGTGGCCAGCTCGGTCACCTGATTTAAATCCACTCGATCTTTTTACTGGGGAGCCGTAAAAGAAAAAGTTACTCCAAGCCAAACGAAAATTTAGCTGAGGCAGAATAACGGGAGCAACTGAATTTGTTAGTATCGGAAGATTCGCCCTTCTGTTAACCTAATCATTTTTAAGATGTCACGAATTAATAAAAGTGGCGTTACTATCTGTCTTGCTGTCACTATGTATAGTGATACTGTCAGTCACTACGTCTAACAAAAAAATGTAATTTGTAGTAATGGAAATTAAAAGATCATCACAAGGTGTAGTTTTTTCTGATTTTTCCAAAGCCTATAATTTGAAAAGTACAGGACTTACATTTTTTTTTTATATTTTTCTGGTAACTATTATGACTTGGCCTATTTCCCGCTTGGCGTCGACTTCTAGGGCACCGTGTATATTATAGCCATCGGTGTTGCGAAATGGCTTGTACTTCAATATGTACTTCTTGTTTATTTCCATCAACAACCAAATTTTACCGCAAAATACTTACCGCTACAGCGAAATGTAGGACCAGGTTTCATTTCGTAGGTATTTTAATCCCCTACCTCTCTAGAAGCAAATAGGTATTTTTTTCCAGTTTTGATGACCCATCAAAATTTCATCTTTAATGTTACAGTTTGCGAAACAAGATACTCTGTAAAACCTGTTACGTTTTCCCTGATTCATATTTAGCCGCACTAAAATATGAGATTGCATGATTCTTGACTGGAACTGAGAATGGAAAAATGCATGTGAAATACAAAACTAATAATTTTGGCGATACCTTTACATTAGTTGTAAATGACCTAAAATTTCGAGCAGTATAATAACCTCGATCACAATAAGGCTTAGAATACTGTGATTCATTTCTTATCGATATGTCTGATTTCCTAAATCTATGAGATTAGTGAATCGATAAACTGGTTATTTTATATATGCTTAATAAAATTGCACTTATATAACATAACAAAACAGTAATTTCTCTATACACAATTCTCACCTCGAATTAAGTTACATGTTAAATCGATGATGTAAAAGTCTATATAATAGTAATAACAGTATTTGTTATGAAAGTTAAACCAGTGGCGTAGCATTTGGCTCTTTTTTGTTTCTAGCATTAAGATACAGTATCAACATTCAAAACAATATGTATTCTTATGATGAAATGAAGTAAACCTGTTTTATATCTGGGATAAACAGGAAGCAGTACAACACATAACTTTCTTGTTCATTGACGGATGTTAGTGAATCTTGTGAAGATATATATCTATCTCAATATACAAAGTTGCAAAAGTCATGCAGCCAATGAAAGGGGGTGATAGGAGAGGCGTTTGCAATTAGATAAACTATATATGTTCTTAAACGATTGTGCACAGTTTTTGGGGTATGGCCATTTTTAAGAATTTGTGGAAAATCACTACTTTTGAGACTACTATTTTTTTCTAAAGTTGTCTTTTGTTATTTTTCAATCAGATTTACAGGATATGTTCCTAAATTATGTGTCTCTGGAAAAAAGCTATGAGTGAACATTTTGTCTGTTGTCATATTCAACGAGGCCAGGATAAAGTCTCCATAGTGATGAAAAACTTCTCGACACTACGGCCTTTCAAAATTCCTATTAGATAATCGAATATCCTAAATAGTTTCTGCGCAAATTTTTTAAACTTAACCCTCTAACTGCCATTGTTGATCTTTTTCTTTTCTAATAGGATGACCATACATTTAACTGACAATAAATTTTAAATCGTGAATGGACTCTAGGTCTAATTATTCAAAGGCCTTGACATTATTTTGGGTATTGAAAACGTTACTGAAACAGTGCAGCATAACCTTATCATGTAAGCCCATTTAGCAGCCTTATGCAATTCAAATAGAAGACAGCAAATCCTTCAATGTGGTTATTAGATCCAATGACTGCGAGGTTTGAGTTTTATTTCCTCTATATCCTACGGGTCATTCTTTATTTTTTTTTTATAAAATATGTTGCTGTTCTGAAAAGAGCCCTTCTTTGTGTCCATACTAGACGATCTTTACAGATGTTCGAAGTGTTATCCTTCTGCTCTACATAGTCGTAGAAAATGTCTTTCAACCCGCTATATCATTGTTACTGTGGAGGCTGTTGCTCGCAGTAGCAATCCGTTCTCTTAAAACTTGTACGGTTGGAGTTCCAGTATAAAACACTACTTCTTTCAAATAACTCCATACAAATAAATCGATGGAATTGAGGTCTGGTGAACGAGGAGGCCAGGTTATGGTTCCTCCTCGTCCTATCTATCGGCTTGAATATGTGCCAATTAAAAAATGCTTGACCTGGCGTGCGTTTTCTGGAGGGGCCCCATCATGTTGGAACCACATCGTTGTGTGTCTGGCTGAAGGCATGTTGTCTAACATATCTGATAAATTGTTTTCTAGAAGGTTTAAATAAGCTTATCCGCACAATCTTTCTGGTATTTCAAATGGGCCAATTAATTGGCGATAGGTACACTAGCAGATCCCATAAGTTGACTCCGAATCGGTGTTGGAAGCGGTCCAGTCTTATCATTCGTGGATTCTTTAGAGCTCAGTGATGTAAGTTATGGATGTTGAAAATTCCTGTTCTTCAAAAATAAGCTTCATCCGCCTATAAGATTTTTTTGAAGAAACTCAAGTCATTTCTATATTCTTGGAGCATCCTTCAGCAAAACTGGACTTTATTTGGGTAGTCTTCTGGAAGAAGCTCCTGCACACATTGAATGTGGAGATTGTGTAACCGCTCTCTGGGTAAAATTATGTAGTGTGTACTGTCGACTACACCACCTTATCATTCGTTGATTCTCTAGAGCCCAGTGATGTAAGTTATTAATGTTATAAATTCCTTTTCTCCGAAAATAAGCTTCGTCTGCCATAAGATTTTTTTGAACTGTATTGGAGCGTCCTTCTGCAAAACCGGACTCATTTTGGGTAGTCTCCTGGAGGAAGCGCCTGCACACGTTGAATGTCGACCTAGCTACCTGTTCTTACTGGTCTCGCAATCATTTCTCCTGCGACATAGGCATTATGTACACAAATAAATGTACGATGGTCTGGAAAATTTGCTCTACGGGATGTAGGTTTCGAATATTCTTCGGCAGCACGTCTAGCATCAACGATAAATGACATGCATTTCTGCACATTCTTGTGACGAGTCCGGCATCTTGCATCGAGTCACAAAAGTAAAATGAGTACGGCATTATACACATATCCCATTCTAGTACTGATGTTTGTTTATCTCGTATCATTTACCTGTTTTTATCAACCGGTAAGACAGATAATATGGCGGGATTTCCGTAACCCTTTTATTACTCAAAATCATGTCAGTGCCACACTCCCGAACATTGATAAGACCAGGCATTTCTTTGAATTCCGGGATTTGTTGTCCCTCAATGATTTCCCATCATATTCAGAAGGTAGAAGATCAACAATGGCAGGTAAAGTGTTGAGTTTAAACAATGGGAATTTCCGGACTTAGGGTACCTGCCACATTTTGTCTACTTTGCGCAGAAACTATTTAGGATATTTGATTATCGAATAGGTATTCTGAAAGGCCATAGTAACGAGAAGTTTTCCATCATTATGGATGCTTTATCCGCCTCCCAATTTTTTGTACAGGCCCCGTTAAATATGCTATAATATTTTTGACCACAAAGTTGGAGGTTAGCCGATTGGTGTACCTAACTGGATTTAATTTTCACTCATAGCTTTTATGCAACGATAGACCATTTGGGAACATATCCTGTAAATCTGATCGAAGAAAAGCAAAAGACAACTTATGAAAAAAATAATACAGTCTAAAAACTAGCGATTTTCCACAAATTCTTAAAAATGGCGATAACTCAAAAATGTATATGGTTTTTCTGACTGCAAATTACCCCCTATCACCCACTCTCGTTTGCCCATTACTTTTGGGACACCCTGTATTGAAGCGAAAATACATTGATAATCAAGAAATCTCGAATTCTATTTGAACTATGAACACGAAATTTGGTAGGGAGTTAGGACATGTCAAATAAGAACGGATTTTGCGATAGGGCTGGATTTTGGTCGCCTAAGGGCAGATATTTCTGAGCGACCAAGCGGTCCGCCCTAATCGGCCGAGGTCTGATACATAATCATAATAATTATACAAAAGTATCCTCTTGCCAATGTCTAATTGGCCTCCCTGAGAAAATCTTCTGCGGCGCCTATGTCTGCGGTTGGGATCCGCGACCCTTCGAGCCGATACACCAGCATGGCTACCCAGACCCAACCTCCTCACGACAGGATAATGTACTGATTTCGTTAAAAATACTGTCCTATCAAGGGCAAATGTACGGATAAATCTATCAAATATGCCCTTCGTGCAACGTCAAGTAAGTTGACTCTGTATTTCCCACGCTACGCTGTCATCCATAAAGGATTATTACAAAAAATTGAATGACCTTCTTCGTCCGCCTGAGAGGAATTGCTGCAGGTGCTCATGATCGTTTCGATGACCAATCCCGCGATATTGACCTTCACCATGCAGAGTGCACCCAGCCCACAGTGGTGTGGGAGCGATTGCCGACTGTGACGAACGACCACCGATGATGACGCTTGTCCATCGGGATACGACATCGCACGTATCCACATCCGACACTTATCGATGTCTAATAGCTCCATAGAATTACCGGAAACATATAAATATACTACCGCCTTAAAGTTGACTGGACAATAAACAGGACTTAAAGTTGACTGGACAATAAACAGGAATTTCAAACATATTGGGGATTGAATTATAACATGTTTTGGGGGCATCTACATCATCACTTATTGACAGATGTCAATCTTTGTAGGGACTGGACGGGTGCAGGTGTGGTTGGCGGTAGTCAGCAGCAACCACAACAACATCACCTAGGTGGCGCTGGCCTCGGCGTCCCGCAGCAGCAGTTGTCAGTTGTGACTACTGTCTGGGGAGTGACTACGTCTACGCAATCAGGTAACCAGTACTTACAATAAACTTTTATATAATATACGATATACGATCGCATGCCTTTCGCGCTTCATCTAAACATTGAAGAAACACAACAAACAAAATAAAAAGATATTGCTTTCGTATATTTACCTTCAAAATATGACTTCTTAGGAAAGTGGTGAAATACGAGAAGGATAGGGGACGTAGAATAAAACCTTTCTACAAAGGATTATTATCATTATGAGATATAGTGCACGGGAGGCTTGAATTTTGGAGACTTTGATATCGCTGCCTTGGCTGGCTGATTGGACGATCTACTTTCTTTAATGAGGCTATCCGTGATTACATTTTTATCAAGATTGAGCCCAAGGTACCGTATTCGATCGAGGACGGGGTTACTACTGTCATGAGTACTAAGTCAATCTACTTGACGAAATATTCCGAGAACCATCATAAACGGAGTAACACAAACTAAAGATTAAGCGAAGTGGGTGGTTTAAGGATCATAAAATTCATAAAAATATATGTGAAGATATAAAAACAGTTGAGTCATCATTTACAAAAGCATCGCAGAACGCTAGAGTGGCACGTACTCCTAATATCAAAGCTTTGCTGTGTGTCAGTGACGACACCCGCACAGATCATTTGGAGTTTATTATCCATTGCACAGTCGGCAGTGGCCTCCACGACGATGCAGCATGGTGCAGTGCGGTTATTTCAAGTTATGAGTTCATCATACATAAAACTTTTATCATTTAATTTTCCCTTTGTTACCGGTATCAGAAGCTACTTAGTGATATAACGCCTTTGACTAATACTAAAGACGTTACATTTACAACCCCCTATCTCCTTCAATCTCCAACCCATAAGTTTCAGCCCCTACAAAAAATGTTCCAAACACTATCAGAAGCCTTTGAATCATCAAAAAACGAAGATTACGCGATTTTTGTTGTATTCGTGCTCTTGCCTCTAGCTCCGCTACAACTAGACCAGTTTTCAAAAGCTACAAAGCTTTTTCATCCTTGGCATAGTAGTAACCTTGTGTGAAAATTTCACCAAAGTCCGAGCGGTACTTCTCAAGTTATAGGTGGTTATAAAATTAGCGAACCGACCGACAGACAAAACAGACAGACGGAAATGAGTGACATGGTTTTTCATGGTGTACATGACATATAACATCCAAAAAACAGAATATCTCAAATTCGAAAATTTTCGCAATTACAATACTTCCTCACCAGCTTTAGCGTAAGAAGTAAAAATCAAGTTTTATCAAAAAAGATACCCGCAAGCGGCTGGATTTTAGACTAAGGAAAGTGTTCATAAGGCGGATGTGTCAAAGCAGAGCGTTGCCAGATGAGTCGAACATAATTTCCCCATAACAAGCACAATCACTCAGAATTGCTTCTTTTTCAGAAAATCCCCAAATCACAGGTGATTAATGGAAAAGGGTAGGTTTGGTTCAAAAAGTGATGCTTTCTATCCGTTAAACGTGTGATTTCCCAGATCATTATATCCTCAAAATAATACCCCTAGTAAAAATCCCCCAACATAGTAACCCTGTCAAAGTACCGCTGGCACTCCAGGCGTCAAGTTTCAGGGTCCTTTTTACAGCAAGAACAGCATTGCTGTAGTTTCATCAAGTATTTGGGCTCCATGGGTATGTTTATTAAACGTCAGACTCGTGTTTATTCAGGAAAGATTATGGAGGAAGACGACATTTGGACATGTGATTCAAATCAATTGTACCTTATTACTGATGTGATTCCTTTTGCTTTTAGCTTCGCCGCCACTAGACCGATTTTCAAAATCTACAAATATTTTTCGGCCTTGGCATAGTAGTAACCTTATGTGCAAAATTCATGCAAATCCGAAAAGTACTTTCCAAGTTATAGACGACAGACAGTCCGACGGAAATGACTGACATCTTTTTTCGTGATGTACACGTCATAAATAACATCCAAAAAATTTATTTATTTGTATAACGAGGCCAAATACAAGGATTATAAAGAGATAAATATTTCTTGTAATTTTAATAATCGACCAACTACATCACGTCAATATGTCAAGTTCACTGCCTACCTGTAGCACTTTAAGACAGCGTCTATACCTCCCACAATAATCAAAATACATTTCACGTATACCATCACAGCTACTGATAGTGTTGCTTTATATACTAAGTGACATATAAAGCCGAACACCCAGTTTAAATGGTTTTATTTTAATAAAAGTTGGTGAATGTATTTATCTTACTGTAAATAACAAGTGAAAAAATTTTCAGCCTTATCAGTTGGACATTCCGGTTTTTATACTGCTTTTTTTTAATTAACTAACGCTCTAAAAATGAATATTTCAGCCGCAGTAAAGAATCAACGTTGGCGGATTTTGGTTCTTGACATCCTTTACGATCGGTTACGATGCCTAGAGTACGGAGACCTGTACGATTTCGTCAACTTAGTTAGTTTGATAGGGGCCGTATAGTGGGACTTTGGGAAGCTGGACTTTCTTTTCGGGCAATTGCAGTTAGAGTGCAAAGAAGTGTAGACACTGTGGTTAGGTGTTGTCAGGCATGGCTTCGAGAAGGCCGTACGCAAAGAGCAAGGGGCACTGCACGCCGCCGTAGAACAACAGACCGTGAAGATCGCCGCCTAAGATTATTGGCCTTAAGGGACCGTTTCTCCACTACCAGGTCCATTGTAAATGAATGGTTTGCAGAACACGGAAGACCTATTGGCATGCGAAGTGTTTACCGACGAATGAGAAGTTTTGGCTTGTTTTCATACCGGCCACACTGGGTCCTCCCTTTAACTCGAGAACACCGACGTAATCGCCTTAAGTGGTGCAGACAACGGTTACTCTGGGATCAGGAATGGAACAGTATTGTCTTTAGTGACGAGTCTCGATTTTGTTTAGGCATGCACGATGGTCGTGCCAGGGTTAGAAGGCGACGTGGTGAAAGGAGGAATCCACAGTTTTTTGTTGAAAGACATGTTCATCACACTGTTGGAGTAATGGTTTGGGGTGCTATAGCTTATGGTTCCAGGTCACCTTTAATCTTCATCAGGGGTAACATGAACGCGCAGCGTTATATCCACGAAGTTCTAGAACCCCATCTTTTACCCTATCTTGACACCCTGGCAGATCCAACTTTCCAACAAGATAATGCCCGACCACATGTTGCAAGAGTCACAATAGACTTCTTTCAACATAATGATATCACATTGTTACCATGGCCACCAAGATCTCCCGACTTATCCCCAATTGAGCACGTGTGGGATATGATGGGTAGGAGATTGCTCAATTTGCAACGTCCTCCTCAGACTCTAGAAGCACTTCGAGAGGAGTTGGTGGTTGCCTGGAATGAGATACCACAGGAGGACATTGACCACCTGATCAGAAGCATGCCTAGGCGCGTTGGAGAATGCGTAGCACATCAGGATGCATCCATACATTATTAAAGGTCAAAGGGCTTTAAAGCAGTGCAATCATTTTGAAATTTTTATCATTTACTTATTATGCTTCATTAAGTACTTATACAAAATTTTATTAAAATAAAACCATTTAAACTGGGTGTTCGGATTTATATGTCACTTAGTATAGTTTACACTCATATTTAACGAAAATCTCCGACAGCATAAGCAATGCCGGTAATTCAGTTTCCTTGATTTTGCCTGGAGAGGATGACATTGGCGTTGCCAGATCGCCCATAAGACGTTTCACCCCCTTGCCAATAAATAATCAGTGATCATGTACGAGGTTCGAATAAGCTCCGCGGTGGCAACCGTATTATGACGCATACCCACACGAATGTTCCTCAGAAAATTTCAGATAAAAGGGCAAGCGAAAAGGTCTTTTCACCCTGATGACATTCGTAGAGCGACGAATCTTGTTAACGAATTCCGCAATGAACAATGGAACGACTTTCTGGCGGTGATGCTTGACTTCGAGTATTCCTCTCTGGAAAGTAGCGAAGTCGCTCAGAGCCTTTTGTGGTGTTGAGGTTATCATATTAAATTTGTAGCTCCATACAGGCACAACATCTCACATCCTAGCAGAGTCGCCATGTAATAAATTTATAATTCTTGTGGGCTTTTACTCCCATTAGTAAAACACCTTTATTTATTATGATTAACTTTATATGTATAACAGTTTACAATAACACTATTTATACAGTGTGTTCTTACCATGCCACACTGGAGGCATTGTCTTAAGTGTAGAGGAAAAGGTTGATGTTTTCCTGATGCCATGGAAAGACAATTGTCTCCCAACGATGAAATTGATGTTTATCTCGACAAGGAGCAACACATCGTAAAATCTGTCAGGAGATATTTCAGGGCCAACGGCGCCAGTGTCAGTCGCGCTACCGTTGGTGATTTATCCTCATCAGAATATTCTTCCTCAGAAGCTTTTTCAACCGAAGATCTGAATAGCACATCAGCGGAATCTCCTGAGATCCCGCATTGCACACCAGCAGAGATTCCAGGTCATAGTAAAGACCTCAAGGTGCGCAAAGCAACTGGGGACGATCAAATCGCTAAGACGCTGAAGCTGCTTCTGCGGAAGTCTCTAACTTATCTCGTGGCAATAATAAATGACATGCTAAGGACCCAGTACTTCCCATCGGGTGGAAGACTGCTGAAGTTATAATGATCCCAAAGAAGGTGGGTTCGATATTGCCCCAGGATTATCGTCCCATTAGCATGCTGTCAGCTTCATCCAAGCTCGCTGAAAAGCTACGCCACCTTGAGAATTTCTCGTCAGATCACCATGTGATTCGTGACGTGCAATTCGGTTTTTGGTCTGAGCATAGTACGGAGTAACCAGATGATTCACCCTTAATGAAAGTACTGGCATCCTGCTTTTGCTCAAAAGTATTTGACCAGGTGCGGCATGCGAGCCTACTGTATAAACTAATCCAAAAGGGCTTTCATTTTTGGCTTCTAAAATTACTGAGACCCTTCCTTGAAGGTAGGAAATTTCGGATCAAAATTGACAATGTTCTGTCGACAACACCGCCCACTACAGCTGGTGGCCCTCAGGGTTCGGTCCTTGGACCAATCCTTTACTCACTGTACTTTGACGACTGTGAACTCTATCTCTATGTTGACGATACTGCATTGGTGGCAACAGTGGCCTGGTGAGCTAGTCCACGGCTGACTGCAAAGTGCTGTGGAGGAAGTATTAGAGTGGGCGGATCGGTGGCTGATTGAAATTAACCATTAGAAAACGCAGGCAATCTATTGTACGAGTACGAAAACACGCCGCGGCGCCCCTTATGAGGTTTCAATGAATGGAGCTCGTATACCATGGGGAAGCCCCGCTAAGTATCTCTGTATCATTCTGGAAAAAGGATGACTTGGCGGAACCATATTGAAGCGTTAAAAAAAAAATTCCAAATTACGTTTCGACAGCTTTATCCATTATTATATAAACATTCAAAATTAAGTTTTATTAAGATTCGGATCTATAAGGTGGTCATAAGACCAACAATGAATTACACTTGTGCTGCTTGGTGTTTTATTGCCAAAACACAGATACGAAATCTGCAGGTTCTACAAAGCAGGATGTTGCTCACTATTACTGACGCCCAGTGATATGTCTTTAACAAAACTCTTCACAGAGACCTCGACGTCCGTACCTAAGGGACTACATTAAGCAAAAGTGGGCTACACAGTCGAGCGAGATCGCAAGCACAAAAGACCGCGGCCCGTGTTGTAATGAAAATTAATTTGTGAATTTAGTACAATCAAAATTGGAGCATTTTAATAAAATCATTGGTTCGCTTGGCAATATCGTATCTCGTACATTCCAAGGCAAGGTTTCCCATTCCATGATCATGAATGAACGATTTTGGTCAGCCAGCACCCATCTAGCGCTCATTGGGAAGTGTCGTCCTACTTCGAAATGGTTTTCATCTGCGTACCCGCAGGCAGTAATAATTTGTATTGCATAACGTTATTTGTTACATTTTGCGACTCATTATGTGATCATTTGATCATCGTCGGAGGAAATCAAAGGGAATTGTAAAATAAATTAAAAAACTCAAATCGCATTAAAATTGAAATAAATAATTCTAATCAAAATGAAAACAAAATATTAAAGTGAATGTTTGAACAAACCTCCTTCTTGGGCTTGACAGCAACCTAAACTATTATAGCAGCCTGTGCGAACATTTTCTGGGGTAACATATTGGCAACCCGGCAGATTGTACGACCTACTGCGTCACCGTTGCTAGGCATCACAGTAACATGTGAAACAAACTTCTCAATCTTCTCTCTCGCACACATTGATCAGAAGCCGTCAGACAAATTTGGTTTTCCCTGTATATAAACTTCTCTTGATGATGTTCTAGCACAAATACCTGGTATACATCTAATAATTCAATCATTTGAATTAGAAGAAATATGTGGAATATCTGATGCAATTTTGACTTGGTAGGTCCCGGAGCGCCCGGAGGAGGCGGATACCCTTTGCAAGTGGTCCCAGGTCAACAGTCTCAGCAAGTTGGAGGTTACGGAGTTGGGCCGAGTACGGCCTCAGGAAAGGTGCCGCCTCAAGCAGCCGCCAATGCCGCTGGTACGGCAGCATACCATCAGCATGGGCCGCCGCCGCCAGTCGGTTACAGGCAGAACGTGCCTCCTGGGTAAGTTACCACGTTAAAAAGATGGAGCCAAGTGGATTTACTCTTTACTTCGCATGTCTTGGAATTCAAGTAAAATATTCCATATAATGCAATTCCATCTATCAGTGGCATCAAAAAGACGTAGATTTTGTAGTAGTAGCAATAGTGATTCTATTTCACAAAATATATACAGGGTGTCCCAGAAGACGTCGTCAAGCCGGAACGAGGGATAGGCCAAGTCAACAGCTTGTATTAAGTTAACATCTACTAGAAAAACCTACGATATGTCAAAAAACCTATGATATGTAAAAACCGACAAAATGTCACTTTCCAAGATACGTAATACCCGAGCTGGATTCTAAATGAGAGAATCGTTGTACCCTTTGAGCCATAGTTCTTGAATGTTGAAATTTATTTAGACTTTACAAAAGCATTCATCAAATTTATTGGAAGACGTGCCACTAAGCAATTACAGCTAATGTGGGAATAGCAAGACGGCTGCCCATCGCACTATGCCCGTTCAGTTGGAGCATGTCTTGATGTGGAATATTCAAGCAGATGGATAGGGCAAGGGCGGTCTTGTACAATTTCATGGCCAGAACGTTCACCTGACTTGAATCCACTCGATTTTTTTACTGGCTAGCGGTGAAAGCTTACTCAAAGCCAATCGAAAATTTAGCGGAGCTACGGGACAGCATAACGGAAGCAGCTGAATTTGTTAATAACCGATGATTTTCCCGTCTGATTATCCGATCATTTTTAAGCTTGTATTGCTGCTGAAGGAAGGTAGGTTGAATATTTATTGTGAATTTAATAAATACGTTCACGAATTAATAAAAGTGGCGTTAGTATCAGTCTTACTGTCACTACGTAGAATGACACTGTCCGTCACTCCGTCTAAAAAAAAAAGAAATGAAATTCGTAGTAACGGCAACTAAAACATCATCACAGGATGTTGATTTTCAGATTTTTTTAAAGCCTATAATTTGAAAAGTACATGACCTAGATTTATTTTATATTTATGCGGCTGAAGTTCCGATCGATCACGCTCTGATCGAAACGGTAAAAAGGCAGCAGTGACGAAAATTTGCCATTACCACTTCTACTGACGTAATTTAGGTCCAAATAAACATAAATCGATGCGGTTTTCACGTAGTTCGATTGTATTACGGACTTTCTATGTACTGTAAGAGTTTTATCTCCCTCCTCCAAAATCTTCCTCAAAGTGAGGAGAAACGCGAAAAAATTGATATTACATTAAAATAAACCTGGAGAAATGCGGTTTTCACGTCAATTGATTAGAAAAAGCATATTTTACTTACGCTAAGTTCAAATCCGTGCTATCTCGTTCACAGATACCGCAAATTGACCCCCCTTTAAAACCTAATATTTTAGAAGCTATATAATCATCTATAGCTTTTCAAAACCGCCCAAGACCAAAATGTTTTGGACACTTCTCGCATGTATATGATCTAGTCAATCACACCATATCAGCCGTTTCCCCAAACCAAGTCCGGAACCCTCCGTTTTTGACCCCTCTTTATTTATACATGACAAATTTGAAAAAATCTATTATTCGTCAAAACAGCCGAAGACCCAAAATTTTTTTACATTTCTGGCATCAGTATAATCCACTTTATCACTCCCTACTAGCCGTTTCCCCAAACCAAGCCCGGAACCCTCCGTTTTTGACCCCTCTTTATTTATACATGACAAATTTGAAAAAATCTATTATTCGTCAAAACAGCTGAAGACCCAAAATTTTTTTACATTTCTGGCATCAGTATAATCCACTTTATCACTCCCTACTAGCCGTTTCCCCAAACCAAGTCCGGAACCCTCCGTTTTTGACCCCTCTTTATTTATACATGACAAATTTGAAAAAATCTATTATTCGTCAAAACAGCCGAAGACCCAAAATTTTTTTACATTTCTGGCATCAATATAATGTACCTTATCACTCCCTACTAGCCGTTTCCCCAAACCAAGTCCGGAACCCTCCGTTTTTGACCCCTCTTTATTTATACATGACAAATTTGAAAAATCTATTATTCGTCAAAACAGCCGAAGACCCAAAATTTTTTTACATTTCTGGCATCAGTATAATCCACTTTATCACTCCCTACTAGCCGTTTCCCCAAACCAAGTCCGGAACCCTCCGTTTTTGACCCCTCTTTATCTATACATGACAAACTTGAAAAAATCTATTATTCTTCAAAACAGCCGAAGACCCAACATTTTTTTACATTTCTGGCGTCAATATAATCTACCTTATCACTCCCTACTAGCCGTTTCCCCAAAGCAAGTCCGGAACCCTCCGTTTTTGACCCCTCTTTATTTATACATGACAAATTTGAAAAAATCTATTATTCGTCAAAACAGCCGAAGACCCAAATTTTTTTTACAATTCTGGCATCAGCTTAATCCACTTTATCACTCCCTACTAGCCGTTTCCCCAAACCAAGTCCGGAACCCTCCGTTTTTGACCCCTCTTTATTTATACATGAGAAATTTGAAAAAATCTATTATTCGTCAAAACAGCCGAAGACCCAAAATTTTTTTTACATTTCTGGCATCAATATAATCTGCCTTATCACTCTGTACTAGCCGTTTCCCCAAACCAAGTCCGGAACCCTCCGTTTTTGACCCCTATTTATTTATACATGAGAAATTTGAAAAAATCTATTATTCGTCAAAACAGCCGAAGACCCAAAATTTTTTTACATTTCTGGCATCAGTATAATCCACTTTATCACTCCCTACTAGACGTTTCCCCAAACCAAGTCCGGAACCCTCCGTTTTTGACCCCTCTTTATTTATATATGACAAATTTGGAAAAATCTATTATTCGTCAAAACAGCCGAAGACCCAAATTTTTTTTACATTTCTGGCATCAATATAATCTACCTTATCACTCTCTAATAGCCGTTTCCCCAAAGCAAGTCCGGAACCCTCCGTTTTTGACCCCTCTTTATTTATACATGAGAAATTTGAAAAAATCTATTATTCGTCAAAACAGCCGAAGACCCAAAATTTTTTTACATTTCTGGCATCAATATAATGTACCTTATCACCCTCTACTAGCCGTTTCCCCAAACCAAGTCCGGAACCCTCCGTTTTTGACCCCTCTTTATTTATACATGACAAATTTGAAAAAATCTATTATTCGTCAAAACAGCCGAAGACCCAAAATTTTTTTACATTTCTGGCATCAATATAATCCACTTTATCACTCCCTACTAGCCGTTTCCCCAAACCAAGTCCGGAACCCTCCGTTTTTGACCCCTCTTTATTTATACATGACAAATTTGAAAAAATCTATTATTCGTCAAAACAGCCGAAGACCCAAAATTTTTTTACATTTCTGGCATCAGTATAATCCACTTTATCACTCCCTACTAGCCGTTTCCCCAAACCAAGTCCGGAACCGTCCGTTTTTGACCCCTCTTTATTTATATATGACAAATTTGGAAAAATCTATTATTCGTCAAAACAGCCGAAGACCCAAATTTTTTTTACATTTCTGGCATCAATATAATCTACCTTATCACTTCCTACTAGCCGTTTCCCCAAAGCAAGTCCGGAACCCTCCGTTTTTGACCCCTCTTTATTTATACATGACAAATTTGAAAAAATCTATTATTCGTCAAAACAGCCGAAGACCCAAAATTTTTTTACATTTCTGGCATCAGTATAATCCACTTTATCACTCCCTACTAGCCGTTTCCCCAAACCAAGTCCGGAACCCTCCGTTTTTGACCCCTCTTTATTTATACATGAGAAATTTGAAAAAATCTATTATTCGTCAAAACAGCCGAAGACCCAAATTTTTTTTACATTTCTGGCATCAATATAATGTACCTTATCACCCTCTACTAGCCGTTTCTCCAAACCAAGTCCGGAACCCTCCGTTTTTGACCCCTCTTTATTTATACATGACAAATTTGAAAAATCTATTATTCGTCAAAACTGCCGAAGACCCAAAATTTTTTTACATTTCTGGCATCAGTATAATCCACTTTATCACTCCCTACTAGCCGTTTCCCCAAACCAAGTCCGGAACCCTCCGTTTTTGACCCCTCTTTATTTATACATGACAAATTTGAAAAAATCTATTATTAGTCAAAACAGCCGAAGACCCAAATTTTTTTTACATTTCTGGCATCAGTATAATCCACTTTATCACTCCCTACTAGCCGTTTCCCCAAACCAAGTCCGGAACCCTCCGTTTTTGACCCCTCTTTATTTATACATGAGAAATTTGAAAAAATCTATTATTCCTCAAAACAGCCGAAGACCCAAAATTTTTTTACATTTCTGGCATCAATATAATCTTCCTTATCACTCCCTACTAGCCGTTTCCCCAAACCAAGTCCGGAACCCTCCGTTTTTGACCCCTCTTTATTTATACATGACAAATTTGAAAAATCTATTATTCGTCAAAACAGCCGAAGACCCAAAATTTTTTTACATTTCTGGCATCAGTATAATCCACTTTATCACTCCCTACTAGCCGTTTCCCCAAACCAAGTCCGGAACCCTCCGTTTTTGACCCCCCTTTATTTATACATGACAAATTTGAAAAAATCTATTATTTGTCAAAACAGCCGAAGACCCAAAATTTTTTTACATTTCTGGCATCAGTATAATCCACTTTATCACTCCCTACTAGCCGTTTCCCCAAACCAAGTCCGGAACCCTCCGTTTTTGACCCCTCTTTATTTATACATGTCAAATTTGAAAAAATCTATTATTCGTCAAAACAGCCGAAGACCCAAAATTTTTTTACATTTCTGACATCAGTGTAATCCACTTTATCACTCCCTACTAGCCGTTTTCCCAAACCAAGTCCGGAACCCTCCGTTTTTGACGAATAATAGATTTTTTCAAATTTGTCATGTATAAATAAAGAGGGGTCAAAAACGGAGGGTTCCGGACTTGGTTTGGGGAAACGGCTAGTAGGGAGTGATAAAGTGGATTATACTGATGCCAGAAATGTAAAAAAATTTTGGGTCTTCAGCTGTT